CATCCACAATCATTTGGACGTTTGAACAGTAGTACTCGCAAATGTGGACAAACAAACTGTTTGTTCCCTGTAGAGGGGGGAATGCAATGTGATGAATGCAATAAGTGGTTTCATAAGATGTGCACTCACTTAAGTCCCACCGCATGCAAAAGTTGTTCGAAGCCTAACTCATATTGGCTTTGCATGTTTTGCTGTGCAAATAAGGCGTTACTAATACAAGAGGCTATGAGCCTATTGGCTTTGGCCTGTAAGAAGAACGATGGCACATGCGCTGACAACACGGGCACTGGCAGTGACGGATGTGCCAGTGTAGTACCTGCCGTTACGCGACGCCTCAAACAACAGACTCTGACCGATGTAAAAGAGAAATCTCCGTTAACATCAACAAGGGGAGTAGTACCACCTGGTACTGACATTGGTAACAATGCACTTTTAGTGGGAACCGACGAACTGGATAAAACCGTCACCGTTCCAAATAGTCCCAGTGTCCTGAGGGATGAAAAATGGACTGCGGCACGTAGAAAACGAAAGGAAAAGAAAAAAGCTGTAAGCAGTACACAGGTAGTTAGTAACTCACCGGTGGACTCTTACTGTGAGTCACAAACTGCACTACCAAAATCTGATGGTAAGAGTGAAACCATCCTAGCGTAATTGAGAAGAAAAATCAAATAACATCCAATATTACTGTGGGCAAATTGAGGTAGTCAAATGACCCTGATCCGAAAATTAGACACGCGCATGATTTAGAAAAGCTAGGAGAATACATTCGTAGTATTTTACCAGATAACTCCAAAGGAGTTCAGGTTAAAAAGTTGGTAAGAATAGGCAAGAGGACCAAGGACAATGTTGAACCCCGTCCGTGCAGACTCCTTAAGGTAATCCTAGGATCAGAGAAGCGGCGGGATCTCCTGTTAAGTAGCGCTCGTTGTCACGACAATTCCGACATCCGAGTCAGACCTGACATGTCTCTCGAAGATAGAATAAAAAGGAAGAAAGCACTAGCTGAACTTGAAACCCGTCGGCAAAACGGCGAGGAGAATCTCCGACTAGTGGGTTTTCGGATAGTCAGGTCTTGGAAGCAAATGCTACCAAGGCCTATGTGGATAAGCCGTTCTACTTAGGAGTTTTATCTGCCAACACTCGTAGTCTACGAAATAAGTTCTATGAACTAGAAGCACTAGTGGACAGGTTAAAGCCACTCATTGTAACAGTGACAGAAACTTGGCTAGACCATGACTTAGACATTACTCCTGAATTATCCGGATACCATTACCTCAGGAGTGATAGACATTAATGTAGAAAAGGAGGTGGCGTCCTGTTATATATAGCCAATAGCATAAATATCCGCTCTTCTGCTAGTGAACCCCATGATAGCGGTACTTGTGAAGTTGTAGAACTATGATCTACTATGATATTAGTACTGCTCTAATAATAGACCTAATCCTAAATTTGTAGATTTGTCATGATATAACTGCCTAATCTATAAGATCTTACGTGGAAGTCACATCATCGCCTACACCAACTCACTGTATCGTAACAACTACCAATACATGATGAAGAACAAGCTAAGGCTAGAGAAAAAACAAAATATTTAATATGAATAAAAGACATAAGATAATATTCAGTAGGGACCACGTCTGCATGGCCGAGCCATGCTATCCATTCAACTCCAATTCATTCAATACATTCTCCCCGCCCTCTCCATCCTTAGGTATTTCTCCGCGTTAAATATTAAATAACTATTTTCCGAGTTGTCTCGTGTTCAGCTTTGAGGATTGTGTGGTTATGGTTCAATGCCACTACAAAGTCATTAGCTGTAAGTTAGCTATTGGATGCAGTACATTTATGTTCGGTGTCATCTATCGCAGCCCAATCTGCTTAGCTGAGGACTTTATTTTAGAGCACATTCATTTTGGAGTGCAAATACCAGATGCTTGATAATAGGAGACATTAATGCACCTGATATTGGTTGGACTGAGATGACCACAGAAGGATCTATAAACTCCTTTGATAGTAGGTTCCTGATAACAATAATGGAACATGCATTAGTGCAGCATGTATCCAAACCCACACGTATTGGTGTTAAGCAAGGTTCTTCTCTGTTGGAATTGGTAATCGCTCATGAGATTGAGGATATTATAATAATAATAATAATTTATTCTCAAATAACAGTTTGTTACATGAGGCATGCCAGTTTACAGGCAAGATCAAATTGATACAAATGATACAATATACACTGTATTAAATTACATAGCTGGGTTGAAAATTTATAAGACATGAATGTAGATTGTTTTAATCAGTACTACAGTTGGCGCGCTTCACGAGAGTTGCGTTGCGAATGTGCGACTGACGATCAAGAATAGGTCCATTGAAGGTATGAGCTTCTAGAAATCGCAACCTTATGTCCCTTTGGGATATCCAAGGCTTTAAGGATGGTGCAGGATGAAGTAACCTGTTCCATATCTCAAGGGGCTGAAAGAGGGAGGAAGTAAAAGAAAACACGAGAGGCAGAGTAGCCAATATTCATGTAGGAATGTTTAAGGTATGATTACTCAGTCTAATTTTCTTTTATTAAGGTATTTGTTAAGAAAGAGCATTTTAATAGGTTAAAGAAAATAAGCTTTAGCAAGGTGTGAGTGGACATACAACTGACAAATGGAGGCGATTCGGAAAAGAGCTGAGAGTATAAGATTATGTGTGATTATAAAATAAAATATAGTGCTAGAAACAGTATTGTGATATACAACTGGCTATCTTCCTTTTATTATCGAAGCTATTAGAGCCCCTTTCGTTTTTTTTAAGGTTTTATAGGGTCTTGAGTAGGCTTCGTATATTAGCGAATTGTCTAGTTTGCTTGTAATAGGATTTCTGAGTAGGAAGTGAAACCAATTTAACGTTCGTAACACGATTTAAAGAGGTATTTTGCGTGATAAATCAGCTTCAATACCTTAAGTCCGTGACATCCCACTAAACCATAAGGAGCCGTAATTAAACAAAATGTTCTGCCCTACAGACATGGGTGGATTGAAGTTATCTCCCCACCTTCATGTTTGCTGGTCAGTAACGCCACCCTCCCTCCTTTTGTGATGTTAGGCTCTCCTACGTTTGTGGTAAGTATGATTAATGCTTTAATCAAAGTACATAGTTGGAATACACTGTCTCTACTAGGTCCATGTTACAAGCAAATCAGATATTTAAAAATTCTGTTTTATGGGTTAGATGTCCATATAGTATATCACACTGCTATGAAAATAACTAATGGTTTAAAGAAGTAAGGATTAATAGTAAATCAAAAGATATGAGAGGGTATAAAATTGTAGAAAAAAAAAGAAAAGACTTTAGGGTAAAAAAAATAAGACATTGAGAAACTCACAAGACTTTGTGGCCAAATTTTGAGCTTTGAATGATCGGCCTTAGTAGATCAGCATCCATAAGATTGAGCTATCTGTCTACTTGCAGTAGAAAAAAAAAGCATGACTTTTAGGAAGAATAATGTACATTTAACCTGTAGAGATTTGGGGACTGAAAGCTAGGGTTAGGAGCATGAAGTCATGATTAATAAACAATGAATAATAGGAAAGGATAAGCCATATATCCTGTGATTTGGTTATATTCATATTAGTAACAGTCGAACTTGTTATAATTTTGTTCTTTCTAGATACTAGGCGGTCCATAATAAAGTGCCTCATCGGTGGGCGGGAGTTCAAGGTAATGTTGAAGCTCTTTGGAGTCTAGAAATAGGGTTATTAGCTTTTTGAATCTGGTAAACGTATCACAGTTACGGATAGGCATTGGCAGCCTGTTCCACAATAAACTGTACCGTACTGTAAAGAACTTACAACGCATTTGTTTTTGGTGTTTTACGGTAAGTAGTGTATATGCGTTGTTTCTAAGTCTATAGGCTGGGTCGTGGGTGATAGTCGGGCAGGAGGTTAGAAAGGAGAGCCCATATATCGCTTTGTAGAGAAATATTAAATTGTGTTTTAGCCTACGGTGCCATAAAGGTTCTAAAGATAGATGCTTACATCTGTCTGTGTAATCGAGATTCGAGTTACATCCTAGTAGTTGACGTGTGAAACGTCTTTGAACATCTTCTACTCTTATCTTGTCTGCGATATTCATATTAGAGAAGACAAAAGAGCAGTATTCAAGGGTGGGTCGTACACATATTTTGTAGAGAGTAAGTTTACCCTCTGTTGTGAAAAAGTTTTTCATTATAAAACCAATTAGCCGTCTAGATTTAGAAATAATAGAGGAGGCATGTTCTTCAAAGTTTAGGCTTCCTGTGTAATTAATTCCTAAATCGTGTACTGATTCGAGTGTTTGGACTATACATTCATTTAAGTGAAGTCGCGGTTTATAGGGATGCTTTCCAAAGTGCATGATCCCGCACTTGTTGAGGTTAAATGGTAATTGCCATTTTTCACTCCATATAGTTAAGTTATTGAGGTCCTTTTGGATCTGGGATACACTTTCGCTTAGTGTCTCAGGCTTATAGCTGTATACTATTTTGAGATCATCAGCATATAAGTACGGTTTCCCAAATTCTATGGTGTTACATATATCGTTTATATACATAAGAAACAAAAGTGGCCCTAATACGCTTCCCTGGATGACTCCACTGGTGATTGGTCTAGGGGACGAGAGACAGTCATTGTACTTTACCATCTGTTTACGTTCTGTTAAGAACGAAGCAAACCATGAGTACAGTGGGTTGTGTATTCCGAAGGACTTTAGTTTGACGAGTAGCCTTTTGTGTGGGACCTTATCAAAGGCTTTCTTAAAGTCTAGGAATAGGACTGATACAAGGAGTCCGCTGTCTCGTTTCAGAGTTATATCATTCAGGTAGTCTACTAGGCATGTATCGCATGATCTGGACCTAAGAAATCCATGCTGGGAGGTCGACAAGAGATTGTTAGTTAATAGATGTTGGACTACAGCCGCCTTAACTACTTTTTCCATCACTCTGGATACCACTGAAGTTATGTTTATAGGCCGGTAATTTTCAACGTTTGCTTCAGGTCCTGTTTTAATTTTGGGAATGATATGTGTAGTTTTCCAGGCAGTAGGGTAACACGCTGAAGAGAGTGATATCGCGAATAGTTTGAGAAGCAAAACACACATATCATCACCTCCACGTTTTAGCATGCTAGATGGAATACCATCTGGTCCATCAGTGTAGGAGTGTTTCAATGTACTGATTGCTTTGGAGATATTTTGTACACTGAATTCTACATTAGTAATTTCACAGGGAGTTACTGGGATTGGTTCTGAATCATTAAATGGTTTTTCGTTAGTTAGTGAGAAACAAAAATGTTCACTGAATAATTCTGTGATAAGTTTGGGATCTTCGTATACTTGTTTGCCTTTAATGAATATACTCCCTCTCGATTTAGAGCGTTTAAGTTTATTTTGGAGTAGTATGGTGAGTGCAGAGGAGTTATTATTAAGTTCAACTGCACGTTTTTCCTGTGCTACTGCTTTTTGTTTACTTATTGCCTTTGTTCGGACAAGTATTTCTGTCATCGTTACTAAAGAGGAAAAGTCATTTAAGTTGTGGAATCGAGTACAATGTCTTTGAAGACGTCTTCTTGTACTGACCGGTATATAGAGATCTTTGGAGAACGTAGGTTTACAGTATTCTAAAGGTGCGATGTTGTTGATGATACTTTTGATGTTGTGATAAAATATATTGGTTAATGTGTCGGTATTGTTTGAGGTAAAGAAAGTTCTCCAATCAGTGCTTCTTAGGTAATTGTGGAAGTTATTCCAATCAACCTTGCGATAGTTTCTACGAAGTGTTACGGTTTTACTTATATCGGTTGTGGTTTTTACATTAAGGCTGCATATGACAATGTTATGATCACTACCTGGGAACTTTTTTCCAATATACAAAGTATTGGGGATGAGGCCACTGGTAAAGACTAAGTCTAAGATGTTTTGATGTCTGGTAGGGCTATCGACATACTGAGTCCATTGTCCAAGCTCTAGACATTCAATAAATGATTCATAACGTCTCGGCGCTTTGACTGGCAGCCAAGAAATTTCGGGCATATTGAAGTCACCACAAATGAGCTTGCCTGTGAATGAGAGGGATGATGCTAGCGTGAATACCTCCGATAATACTGCTATTTCATCTATTGATGCGTTAGGTTGACGATAAACACAGCCGAGCAGTAAGGTAACGGAATTCGACGGCTTTAATACAATCCACACCGAATCCTTCAGTTTGTTTAGTTCAGGCATATCACATAGCAGTGAGTTCAGGCTAGAGTGAGCGTAAATAAGGCATCCTCCGCCTCGTCCATTCAATCTATCGCTTCTATATAGGGAATAGTTATCTAGAGATATGCTTCGGTCGGAAATATTACTGTTAGTCCATGCTTCAGATATCATAATAACTGATGGTTGATATATGGATACAAACAGGGCTAAATCCGTCTTTTTGTTGCAGATCGATCGAGCGTTGATAAGACATATATTAAGCAAGTGGCCTACTAAGTTAAAATGGGTGAGGGTATTTCGGATAAAGTCGTCGTAACCCTCGCGAGTGTAAGATGAGTTTGATGTGAGGGATTGGATGTTCTTCATTAGCTCGGTATTTTGATAGCTAAACTTATTGGGAGATGTATCAAATGAGCTGGTGAAGTTGATTGGGGAGTTTACCCAGGAGGAAAGGGTGGGAGTACTCTGTGATGGAAACTGTACGGAGGAAACAAATTTATGGTTTGCATGTGGTTTGAAATAACCTGGGCTATATGCTTCAACAGAGGTGTCACTAGGGGTCTTATTCCAAAAAAATCTTGTACAGGCCTACTGTGAAGTGTATGGTTATTTACAAAATAGTCTTGATGGTTAGACTCGTAGCCCCTGTTATGGCTTTTTACGTTAGCGCGAGAGGGGTCTGCTACGCGTAACTGGGAGGAGTTGCGACTGTTGTTATACATGGGAGCCGTTGTTATGTGATGGGTCGGTACTAAAGGGTATGAGAAGTTTTCTTTTTGAGAGTAATTACAGTTGCGATCCTGGGGAATGTAGGTAGGGTGTGGAGTGAGAAACCTATTATTACCATTCTTATTTATGGTTTTAGGCTTCAGAGGGTGATTTGGGTGGCCAGTTCTCTGGTAGTTTTCGTTAGTCTGCGTGTAAGAAGGCTTGCTACGTTGAAGCCCACCACCCTTTTTGCAACTTGGAGGTGTTGAAGGCAAGTTATACGATAGCAGCGGGGAGAACCTGTTCACTGTTCTTGGGATACCTATAGAGCAGTTGGGTTCAATCTTACGTGTTTCCCTATTCGGTATCATGAGTTTTGTCTTCCCACCCTTTATTTTCAGAGCAGGATTCTTTCGTTGTCTTTGTGAGATGAACTTACGTTCATTCAAGTCTACTTGTGGAATGTCTTTAGGAGGACAAATTTTCAAGTGTATAGGTTTAGTTGCACATGTGTTGTTACACGACTCACATTTTAGTACATTACTGAATGAACAGCTGGGATTAGTCATGTCGTTATGGTTTTTGGTGTCAGTTGGGGTCCGTATCTTATCCAAAGGTTTCTGATCTGTAGACTCATCTAGATCAACAGAGTGATCAGCCGTATGTGGAGTGGTGTCATGCTTAATGTTCGTGTGTTTTAAACTATTTGCTGTGTTGCAAACTGTCTCTGGCTGATTATTAACTGTAACACTCCCATTCAATTTTATCGCTTCGCGTCTTCTTACACGACGTTGACAGGGCGTAAGGTCTGGAGTGACTTTTATATTTTTGTATGGAATTAGTGAGCTAATGTTTTTGCTCAAATCAATAAACTGCTTAGCATCGTTACAACAGCCAAACATAAACAAGAGGGGGCAAGTTGATCTGTCTGACTTTTTTCTAAGGCGGATGACTTTGCAGTTAACGTTCGGCATACCGCATGCTCTAAGGCAAATATCTCTTAACTTAGATGGGTGTGTGCGGTCGGGGAGGTTATACACAACTGCATTGAAGGAGGACATTACTCTCTTCGTCACTTCTTCAGCCACAAACTCCAAAATACACTCAGCTTTAGTGAGTTGCTCAAGATTTCTGTCTGTATCAAGGCCCCATATATGAGTGAGGGGTGCTAATTGCTCAAGTTTGCCGTTAATTTCGGATAGAGAGTTTTGTAGCTGTCGGATGTCATTACTATATCTATCAGTATTTTGGTGCGTATGAGGTGGACCATTGGACTCTTTAGTTTTTGAAATTTTAGACTTAGGCCTTGGTAGCACATACTGTTTAGTAGACTGTGCTGACTTTTCAATGCACGTAGGTATAGTGTCTTGTATGTCAACCAGTCTTACCGTTGGCATACTGCACGTAAAGATAGAGGGGCTGCGACATGGAGAATCTGGTGACGATAGGGACATTTGTGTACAATGCATATATTTTTCAGTAGTTAAAGGTTCGACATTGTCAAGCACTGAGTCGTCAGTTGTAGGGGTTACAGATTTGGACCTTTTATTTGGCTTAGAAGTTGGTGAAATTCCTCTTTTACTGGAGTTATTGGACATGATATGAATAAAAGTGAGCACAGTGCTCGTTAAATTAAATATAATATCTGAGTATTAAATGTTATTAAGTATTAACCTGGTTAATACTAGGATTAGAGACTGTGAGTATATAATAAATTGCAGACCTATTTACGACTTAAGTCCGCAATAGGTACAATACGAACTGGTAATTGTCCGTCGAATGAAAATAAGTTTTTTCTTATGTTTCGTGGTGAGATGTTCCCGATGTACAGGATAGGATGATAATCACAGTATAATACACCCTACAAAAGAGCAAGTCGAAGAATTCCTAAACCACGTGAAAAAATGTTACCACTTTCAAAGTTCGCGCTATGGAAAACGATACGATGTAAGAGTGATAGCCTAGAACTTCAAAATGACCTGAAGAAGTTATCTGAATGGTTTCAACATGGCAGTTGCCGATAAATACTTCCAAGTGTGTTTGTGATGCATATCGGTCATCAAGGCAGAGATACATACACGATGAATAACACTGAGCTACCTGTCGTCCAGACATATAGTGACTTAGGAGTTATCGTTAGCCAAGACTTAAAGACTACTGCACACTGCCGTGCAATAGCCGCCAAAGGTTTTAGAACGTTATGGTCAATACGTAGAGCTTTTAGTCATGTCGACGCCAAGACGTTTATAATTTTCAAATTGCTTAGTGCCGAATTTGCACCTGATATGCCCCCATTTTTCCTGTCTTCCAAAACGGAGAATTTACGAGGACACTCCAAAAAGTTCATAAGCCGAGAACAAATTACTTGTCAGCTGACCATCGACTTTCCCAGCGAATCATCGACGAATGGAATTCACTACCTCAGCACGTGGTTGAGGCTCCATCCATCGACTCTTTCAAAAGAAAGTTGGATCAACTGAGAGAACACCATTGCCAGGACTAACATAGGCCATCGAGCCTCCTGTCCTTCCCAAACTGAAACTGAAGGGGGCTGAAAGAGGGAACGAGTGAAAGAAAGGACGAGAAGCAGAGTAGCCAATATTCATGAAGGAATGTTTAAGGTATGATTACTCAGTAACTTTTTTTTTATTAATGTATTTGTTAAGAAAGAGCATTTTAATAGGTTAAAGAAAATAAGTGTTGACAAGGTGTGAGTGGACATACAACTGACAAATGGAGGCGATTCGGAAAGGAGCTGAGAGTATGGGATTATGTGTGATTATAAATAATATATAGTGCTAGAAACAGTATTGTGATATACAATTGGCTGTCTTCCTTTTATTATCGAAGCTATTAGAGCCCCTTTCGTTTTATTTTGTATTATTATTTTTTTCCAGGTATTATAGGGTCTTGAGTAGGCTTCGTATATTAGCGAATTGTCTAGTTTGCTTGTAATAGAATTTCTGGGTAGGAAGTGAAACCAATTCAACGTTCGTAACACGATTTAAAGAGGTATTTTGCGTGATAAATCAGCATCAATACCATAAGTTCGTGACATCCCACTAAAACATAAGGAGCCGTAATTAAACAAAATGTTCTGCCCTACAGACATAGGTGGATTGAAGTTATCTCCCACCTTCATGTTTGCTGGTCAGTAACACCACCCTCCCTCCTTTTGTGATGTTAGGCTCTCTTACGTTTGTGGTAAGTATGAATACTGCTTTAATCAAAGCCCATAGTTGGAATACAATGTCTCTACTAGGTCCATGTTACAAGCAAATCAATGGTTGAAAAGTCTGTTTTATGGGTTAGATGTCCATATAGTATATCACACTGCTATGAAAATAACTAATGGTTTTAAAGAAGTAAGGATAATAGTAAATCAAAAGATATGAGAGTGTATACAAATGTAGAAAAAAAAGATTCAGGGTAAGACAAATAAAACATTGAGAAACTCACAAGACTTTGTGGACAAATTTGAGCTTTGTATGATCTGCCTTAGTAGATCAGCATCCATAAGATTGAGCTATCTGTCTACTTGCAGTAGAAAAAAAAGGCATGACTTTTAGGAAGAGATTTGGGAACTGAAAGCTAGGGTTAGGAGCATGAAGTCATGATTAATAAACAATGAATAATAGGAAAGGATAAGCCATATATTCTGTGATTTGGTTATATTCGTATTAGTAACAGTCGAACTTGTATAATCTTGTTCTTTCTAGTACTAAGCGGTCCGTAATAAAGTGCCTCATGGTGGGCGGGGTTCAAGGAAATGTTGAAGCTCTTGAGATGTTCCCGATGTACAGGATAGGATGATAATCACAGTATAATACACCCTACAAAAGAGCAAGTCGAAGAATTCCTAAACCACGTGAAAAAATGTTACCACTTTCAAAGTTCGCGCCACTGGCGCCTAGGGTAATAACCACCAAGCCAGGGTACATGCAGTCCAGCACGAAGCCAGGTGCATGCCATATTCAACCACTGGAGCCTAGGGTAATAACCACCAAGCCAGGGTACATGCAGTCCAGCACGAAGCCAGGTGCATGCCATATTCAACCACTGGAGCCTAGGGTAATAACCACCAAGCCAGGGTACATGCAGTCCAGCACGAAGCCAGGTGCATGCCATATTTAACCACTGGAGCCTAGGGTAATAACCACCAGGCCAGGGTACATACAGCCCAGCAAGAAGCCAGGTGCATGCATCATTATATATTTTTGGGTTATGATAATGATCCTTCCGCAGGTTCACCTACGGAAACCTTGTTACGACTTTTACTTCCTCTAAATAGTCAAATTAGGTCATCTTCTCAGCATCAGTCGAGCGGCAACGCCACTACAACGACACCAATCCAACGACCTCACTAAACCATTCAATCGGTAGTAGCGACGGGCGGTGTGTACAAAGGGCAGGGACGTAATCAGCGCAAGCTTATGACTTGCACTTACCAGGAATTCCTCGTTCACGGGGAATAATTGCAAGCCCCGATCCCAGTCACGACGGTGATGAAACAGTTTGCCCAACCCTTTCGGGCCAGGTTCCCAGACTCGCTGGCACCGTCATTGTAGCGCACGTGTGGCCCCGGACATCTAAGGGCATCACAGACCTGTTATTGCTCAATTTCGTGCGACTTAAGTGTGCCGCTTGTCCCTCTAAGAAGTAAAAACTGGCACCGCACCCGCCGGATCACGACCACACTACTCCATAAAGAAGCAATAGAAGCCGCGCCCTAAACGAGCACAGAGGACCAGTCTACTATTTAGCAGGTTAAAGTCTCGTTCGTTATCGGAATTAACCAGACAAATCGCTCCACCAACTAAGAACGGCCATTGACGACCCAAATATTCTTCCACCGTTAGTGAATAGCGATCACGCTGTTTTGTCATTCACGTTTAGAACTAGGGACATGTTATATGATCAGGTTGCACCTCACCCAAATGTATGGAAAGCTAACGTATCAGCCATTCAGGAATGTGCCACTAAGACAGATTGGTTTGTAGATACTAGCTTATCAGTTGAAGAAGCATGGTCTGTATTTAAAGGTAAGTTTAGTCTCGTTACGTCCCCGTTCATACCATACCTGGTGCCACAAAGACCGAATAACAGTCCACCACGGATAACTAAACCAGTCAGGAAACTTCTTTGGAAAAGGAAAAAGCACTGGAATATGTTCATCTCTACTGGCTTAGAACAATAAAGATCCAGTTGTAGCGGTAAACAAATCCCCAAAATAAATAGCACTAAGTTTTCGACATTGGATGCTGACCATATGTTTTAGTGGACTCATCTAGCTGAAGGAGCTCGGTCATGCATCCGCACCAGATCACGTGTGGTAACGCTGTGCTCAACATCAACCTCAATCGCTAGCCAGATTAGATCAGAGAATTCCAATATATTGGTCATTGCCAAATATACTCTTCCGATCTCCTCGACTCTGTCTTTTGATTTCTCTGGGTGGGAACGAAATATATTAGGTGTTACTGGTAGAAACGTTGTCAAACACTGAATACCTGTGACATCATCACAGTTATTGCAAGATTAGGAATACCTGTAAAGCGTTAAGAAGTAAGACTAGACAATCATATGAAAAACAATTGGTTAGGGATTCTAGATATAGTCCGAAACGGTTATTCTCGTATATAAAAGGGCGAACTCAGAGAAGCGATGGAATTCCATCACTTTCGGTACAAGAAAATCCTTTAATCTTGGCCGAAAATGATGCCGAAAAGGCCAAAGCTATATCGGAATATTTTAGTAAAGTATTTTCTATCGGTAATGAGGAACGACCAATGATTCATCATGACCGTGATGGCTCACTGATGGGCCCTGTAGTCATTGAGAAAGGTACTGTTTTAAGGCTACTTCAGCATCTCAAACCTGATAAGTCCAGTGGTCCTGATGATATTCATCCTAGGATTATGAAAGCCACATCAGATGAAATTGCTGAACCATTAACGATACTATTTGACATGTATCTGAGACAGTCCAGACTGCCTGGAGACTGGAAAGACGCCATAGTAAGTCCGGTGTATAAGGCTGGGAGTAGGGATTTAGTTAGTAACTATAGACCTGTTAGCTCAACTAGTGCAGTTGTAAAACTGATGGAGAAAATCATTCGTATAGATGTTATAAACTATGTTGAAGGGCAAAATCTTTTCTCCAGGGCACAACATGGTTTTCAGAAAGGCCTATCTTGCTTGACAAATCTTCTTATTACACGAGAAGATTGGGCTGCTGCAAAAGATCGGAATGTTCCTGTGGATGTGATTTTCATAGATCTAAGTGAGGCCTTCGATAAGGTTTCCCACTTTGGTCTTAAATTCAAACTGGAACGTTTTGCAATCCATTATACAGTTGTGGATTGAATAAGTAACTTTCTCCATGACAGGAGGCAAAGGGTAAGGGTTAATGGGGCTTTCTCCTCGTGGGTACCTGTAAAAAGTGGGGTTCCTCAAGGTACAATCCTAGGTCCTCTTCTCTTTTTACTTTATGTAAATGAATTGCCAACTGTAGCAAAATCACCCGTCCTACTCTTCGCTGATGACATAAAGATTTGGAGACCCATACATAGTTTGTTGGATAGAATGGTACTACAGGATGATCTTAGCTCATTGGTGGCATGGTTCCACAGGTGGTCACTAGAAGTAAATCTTAATAAGAGTGTAGTGGTGCAGTTAAATAACTCTGACGAATCGTATCACTATACACCACGTGGATTCGTGCTACCCGAAGTAAGAAACTATAAAGATTTAGGAGTCATATTAAGCAAGGATCTCAAAACGACTAGTCACTGTAAAGCCGCTGCTACAAAAGGCGATAGGGTATTATGGTCAATTAGTAGGTCTTTCCAGTATTTAGACGATGAAATGTTTAGATTACTATACCCGATTTATGTGCGACCACATTTAGAATACGGGATTCAAGCAGCGTGTCCTTGTTTCAAGTATGAAGCAGATATGCTGGAAGGAGTCCAAAGACGAGGTACTAAGATGGTACAAGGTCTATCTGGCCCATCTTATGAAGACAGACTGAGACACCTTAACTTATTTCCGTTATCTTACCGTAGAATACGGGATGATCTAACATTGGCTTATCGTATACTGAACGATGACTTTGGTACTAACATGTCTTATCTCTTGCTTCCGTCTAGGACCAATCATTTGAGAGAACATTCGAAGAAAGTTCAAAAACCGAGATCAAATCGTTTACGTCTGGAGTTTCGTTTCTCGCACCGAGTAGCTAATTACTGGAATTATCTACCGGAACACTTAATATCAGCACCTTCTGTCAATATATTCAAAACGAGATTGGACCTCCACAATATTACAAACTGCAAGGATTAATATAGGTCGACAGACTTCCTATCCTTATTACTGAAGACTGAAGACTGAAGACTGGAGACCGGCAAGTATAAAAGACGTAGTTACAGTTTCGCTATTTGGATGTGTTTGTGTTGACCTAAGTTTCTGTCCTTTTCTTCAATAAAATACCTAATTTCTTTGTATCAACTAGTATCTAAGGTGAGCATGTCTTGTATACTTGGTGAACCATGTTGCAATATCGGAACACACATCACATTCACATATGTGAACGTGGTAGTGGGTACGAGTTATATTAGGTGTTACTGGTTAAAGCGTTGTCAAACACTGAATACTTGTGGCATCTTTAAGCCGTACATTGAATGCTGAAAGGAATTTCACGTTAGTTTAACTGGATAAACACAATACCCAGTGATTATTTCGATGACGAGTTCACGCTTTAGGAATAAATTGACTGAAAACAAAACTCTCAATTGGAACAATATGTTTTGTTTTGTTTAAAATGGGTTGCTCAGAGCTCCAGGGCAGAAGAGGCACTAATAAATTAAGTCCTCATGGTATCTAATTGCTGATCTAGGTTCATATACTACTTTTTCTCTTAGCATACTGGAGCTCGGTGCACCATTGGTTTGGAATCAGGGTTTTTGAACTTTCCTAGATAAGTCTTCCTTACTCAACAACTTAGCTTAAACTTCAGACATTCGCTTTTCATTATCTCACTTTTGTGAAGATCACTCGTGTCGTGTGGATGCAATGAGTAGAATTTTCCTGGCGGTGGCTATCAAAGTGTGGATGTATGAGAGCATTCTAGGTATGAGTGAACCCTGTATACCCTCGATCATGCCAGGGCGTTTGATAGCTCTTTATTTCACTGACATGATAAATTCAACCGCTATCTTTGACCAAAAGCACGTATTGTTAACGACTCGGGGAAGAAAGATGTATGTATACCCATAATTTTTTTTCGCCGATTTCAATTGATTCCATCGAAATTAGTATCATAAGTAGTTTTCAGTTAAACAAAACAAGAATTATTGGTTCAATGAAGTGTCTTGTGTTCAGTTAGTTCATTTCTAAAGTGTGAACTCTTCACTGAACCAATCGTTATTGTTTTATGCACCAATGGATATTCTATGTTTATTCAGATAAATTAATGCGGAATTCCTTATAATGCATTTAAGTGTAACAGAACTTTGTCAGCAATGGTCAAACTACTTTTGTTTAATTTCATCTCGAGAATATTTTAACGGCGAACGTAAGCTGCACTTATTATCAAGTTGATAGTAATGTGCACTTATTGAACTTGGTTTTTCAAGTCTAGTCTAGTGGTTGAAGTATTTCCCTCTATATCAGTTTCATTCAACAATAGTTGAAAGGTTTTACATCATCAGTTTGTTGTTAATCCATGAAAGTATTTTGTGTGGACTTTCTATGTTGTTTGAGGTGTCTTACGGTACTGTCGAAGTACGAATGATATGGTGGTTTTTCTTTCAGTGGTTGCAATTTACATTAACTTGATGGATTGCATCGCTTACAGACTACAGCACTTTAACTTCGTTGCTCCACACTCGTAAAAGGCTTGTGAGGTGAAAATCACAGGAGAGTCTGGAACTCATACGACGGATTACAATGCAAAGTCGTGCATGGAAGACATCTAACAGATGCATTCCAAGTGAGGGCCAGTGTCAGAGAAGATTGCTTACTCTCATTTTTCTCTTTCTTCTGGTTGTCGACTGGATTATGAAGACCTCGACATCTGAGTAGGAGCACGGAATACAATGAACAGCTCAGAATCAATTAGACGATTTGGCCTTCACAGACGACCTGTCCCTTCTATCCCATACACACCAACAAACGCAGGTCAAAGCAACCAGTGTAGCATAAGCCTCTACATCAGTAGGTCTCAGTATACTCAAAGGAAAAAGAGAGGTCCTCAAACACAACACAGAGAACGCCAGCGAAACAAATCGCACTTGATGGAGAAACTCTGGAAAATGTGGAATCTTTGACTAACCTGAGAAGCATCATCGATGAACATGGACGATCGGATGCAGACGTAAAGGCGAGAATTACCAGATCAAGGGCCGCATTCCTACAATTGAAGAACATATGGGAATCAAAACAACTGTCTGTCAACCTATATCAAAGTGAGAATCTTCAATACGGACGTCAAGACAGTTCAGTTCTATTGTATGGAGATGAAACGTGGAGAACTACCACAACCATGATGAAGAAGGTGCAAGTATTTATAGAGAGTTGTCTACGCAAGATACTGAATACCCGTTGACCGGATACTATCAGTAACAGTGTACTGTGTGAGAGGACACACAAGTTTCGAACTGAAGAGGAAATGAGGAAAAGACGTTGGAAGTGGGTAGGACATACATTACGGAAATGGTGGGAGTGTATCTCGAGGTAAGATCTAACTTGGAATCCATAAGGGAATCAGAAAAGAGGAAGGCCAAAGAACACATTCCGTCGGGAAATAGAAGCAGATATGAAAAGGATGAATAGCAACTGGAGAGGATTGCCCAGGACAGAGTTGAATGAAGAGTACTGGTGGACGGCCTGTGCTCCTCCGCGAGGAGTAATAGACGTAAACAAGTAATTTGGATTCTAATTAAATCATCTGATTATTTGATTGCATAATCTTGTCAAACTGTCAATTGAACGCACTACACTAAATGAATTAATACAATGAACGAGAATCACGTTAAGTCAGTACTAGAATCAATTTGTTTATATTTTATATTTAGGAATTTCATGTTTTTAACAGTGTAGTTATAATGCTAAGCGATGTTATAACGTACTTCTAACGTGGAGGCTAAAAATGTTCCGATACCATGATATCATAAATCTTAGTATTAATCAATGAGTGAGAACTACAGACTTTTTAAACACTTACCTGTATTTTGGTACTAGTAATGTTCCAACAAATCCAAGCCGACTTTGAATGTATAATTTTTTTTGTATTTTTTTCAGCACTGTTTTCAACCTCTCTTCGAATATCATCAGTTTAAATTTTTATTGTAATTCGTTCAGCTCTCTTCACAAACTTCTGATTTTTCAAATGAATCGTCCAAATTGGTTTTATATACTATATTTAACTGTTATTCAATTTACCATCTATGGGGTTTGTGAAGAGTTATCTGTTAGTCCTATTGCTCAAGCGCTGCGTGTTCATGAGTCTGGAATTTTTGAATGTTCTTTCGAAAACTCATCCTATAATTCAGACTTAAGGTGGATATTGTTTGATGGAACAGTTCTATTAAATGGTAACACATCAGAAGATGGTCGATTTATTAATGAAGATGGTATCCTAAAAATGACTAATCTTACTATACCTGATTCTGGTGAATATAACTGTGTAAATGTTGAAGTCAATACCACTGTTACTGCTCATCTTAAAGTGTATATTATGCCATCTTATTTATTGGAAGGATCCATTGTTCTTGCTATCAATGGTGTTCTCTTCATTTTATTCATTTATTCAATGATAAAAACATATCGAGAACAAAATATTAAAGATCGTATGCATGCTTTCTAATGGTTGTTTGTTTAATTGATGAGAAAGATTTCTCTCTCTGATCTTGTTTTTTTTTACATCAACTGCCATTCCTTATCGATTATTGTTTTGTTTTTTTTTGCGTGAATTTTCTAAATAATATAATTACATATGTTATACTATGCTTTATAATTTAAACATGCAGTTTAATGCATTCACTTGTATCTGATATTCATCTCTTAGCTATGTTATAAACTGTCTTTACAAGAAAATAGCAATTCATGGATTTTTTTGCAGTTATGAAACACATTATTTTGTTTTTCGCAATCTGAAATCACCCTATTTTTTTCAACTCTTAACAAGGCAAATCTGTGAATATGTTGTTGTTAATGTCGATTTTTTGGATAGTTTTAAAATTTATATTAACTTTATACCTAGTATCTAAAAATTCTGTTTTGAATTAAGGAAGAAGTTTGATTTGTTTCATCTTGTCTTATTTTCATTTGACGTAAACAAGATTCAATAAATTAATTTAACATTGATGATCTTGTCTACTTGGTAACATTATCCCAGAACTCGAGGAATAACTACTGGATGTCAGCCACACAGAGCATTTTTGTAAGTAGTTTTTGGCACTTGCTCTGTACTTTCTAAACCTTATGTCTAATGTCTAAAGCCTGTGGAACAAGTGGAGGGTGTGCTAGTTTCTAGGACATATGTTTTCTATCCCTTCCGTCTATCGGACGCTGGTTATCTGTAAGAAATGCTTTATTGCCGCTACATCCTACTACATTTCTACAAACTTTGAACTTATTGATTTCTAGTCTTATCACTCTTCAAATGACCTTACCATTAGACAGGTTAGAACATATGGCTTTCTGCCAATAACTCATAGTCTTGAACCCCGTTTCCAGCTATTTAATTCAGGTAGCTAGGGAATAATAACAATCCCTTGACTAAAAGAAGAATACATTTGTTTGTGTAGATTGATCACTGTAGTGATCAATATCATGCTTGTCTGGTCCTTAGTACTGACCGGGTTCCATGGATCAGGTTGCACTGTGGTCGATAATCTAAGTGACATGGCATCACATGTACTATTTTGATGTTACGTGGTTGGAGGTAGTCTTCAGGAAACTCTGGACGTAAGTTTCTTCCTTGTTGGCAAGAGCTTTCTTCAATCTTGGGGCAGCTGATAACTCGGGTTGTGGAACCAGTTGATATGAGTTCTAATTTCTTAGGGTGCATCATTAACTTCGAAACTGCAGGTACACATTACCGAAGAGTAGCAGGTAGCAGGATACCTAGATTCAGGGTCTCCTGGCGATTACCTTTGACCACGTAATGCTAACTTGAAATTGGTACATCAGCTACTTTTATTATTTTCTTCAACGCATAAGTCTTGACACAAAGGGACACCAGATTGTATATGCTCCAAACAAAATTTGTATAACGGATGGGGTACTGCCCAAATCAAAGCAGGTGGTTTTCTTGGGCGGCCGCAACCCGGGGTCTTGACCTATATGTCTAGTTCACAAAGCAATGGTACAACGTCAGGAGATGCGGTTCTATGTTAGCCGATGACCAACGATTGGTTCATACACCATTTGTTCCCTTGGGATTCTGGAGCCCATGTGTACCAGTGGTTTGGAGTCAGGGTTTTCCAGCTCCCCTAAGTGGATCAGTGTACCTACCCGCCCGGTTTAAGAGTCGGGCATTCACTTTTCGTCCTCAATTTCGAAAACAAAACTTCTGCAGCGCGAAGGCCATACCAGAACATTTGATATATCAGTTACATATTTCAACTTTTTGAATTGTCATTTTAATGTATTTATGGTAAAACAGTGATAAACCTTATCAATCCATGCATTCAAACTATCAATTGATCGTAGATGGAATGAAGAAAACGAACAAAATTTTATTTCTACATCATTGTCAGTGGAATCTTAATAGGTTTATGATTCAGTTAACAGAGTTTTATGTGATAATCGATTATGAAGTCATAATTGACACGAACATATAGGCCAGTGGTAACTTCTCTGACCATGAATCTGGGTAACATGCGATCAAATCCTTCAGGTAGCACCAATCCCTTCGATATTACAGGTATACCTTGCTCACAAGTGCCAAATAGTACGAAACGTAGGTCTAGCGTTTCCTGTCGACTATATTCAACTACCACCTTATATCTCAGCATAACACACGCGATGTCGAGTCACCTAGACTAATGGCTACATTGCAACTTGACCGATAGGAATCAATCTACACAAAGGACATGACATTGGTCACTTCCCAGTGACCAATCAATTGTAAATAATATTGACATATTTTGTAATAGTGTAAAACAATCAATCCTTCATTGATGATTCTTGTCAGTGTAGGGTTTTTGGGAGATCACAGAATTTTTATAGACTTGGTACCACAAACTACTCTTAAGTAGACCATCAATGAAAACTGTGGAACACTGAACAGCTGTTTCGTTTTAGTATGGGATTTCCCAACTTCCAAGTTTTCAGCTTTGGTCTAACTAAGATCAGTTCATTGTACAAAGTCTATGAAAACCAATAATTTTTGGGGTATAGCGTGGCAAGCATCCAATGTCACTGATGACAATTATTTCATTCCAAACACGTTTGAATATTTTTATTCGAATAGCTTAAAATGTAGTGAAAGAGAACTCAGGTGGGCAAAACCAACTAGTTACTTGACGCAGTAATTCCATAGTGAAACTTCATCATTTGAGGTGGCTGGGACACGTGTTACGTATGCCCAACTACCGACTGCCCCGACGTGCGATGTATTATGGTGTAGGAGTAGGTTGAGAGAAAGCTAGGGGCGGCCAGACCAAAACGTGGCACAACTCCATGAAGTCACTGACAAGTGGACTGAGTCATGTTGGTAGGTGAAGACTACCTGGTTGGGATCCGCGAAACGATAGCAACCGATTGTTAGAGACCTTGAATCACATGTCTCAAAATCGTTTGCAATGGTGCAGATGCATTCACTCTTTGTGTTCTCTCAAATTCTAATCTTCTGAATTCTTAATGTTTCCTTTTGTCTCTTTCCAAATTTATTTCACTGAATTATACTCCTTGAATAACATCTTCAAACCCTAATCTTTCCGATTACTACTTCTACTACTATGGGATTTGAATCGACAATTGTATCTCTGTGCTAATGTGGTATGGCAACTCGAACTGATGTACGTATGTACGAAGTTCTACGTTGCTACTGATTGATTTGCACATCTATCAATTGTCTTTTACATACTTTATGATTCTTCCAATTCTGTTGTTATCCCAACTGCTCTCTGTTTCCCTTTGTTTACTCTACAATTCAATCTTTTGCTAGCAGATATTCCACTTCTAATCACTTATATCTATCAACATAAACAGTATACACCACGAAAATAATTAACTTTTATGCGTACATACTGATCACTGATATAATTTGTAATTTGTGTCAAATCATAGATTTCCTTGTAACTTAAGTTTCCTTGATAAGTTATTCGAAAAAGTATACTGTCTTAGTTGAATTATAAACATTGATCAGTAATTTTGTCTTATGATAGGGATTAAATTAAGATTTGGAGGATCAATTCTCTAATTTGAATATTGAAATCTGATAACCAAATAATTGAAAATAACTAATCAGATAAGTATTACGACAATGAGATGTAGTTTAAATGTTTAGAGTTAACCAGTAGAAAGTTGTGAATGGAAATCCTTTTGTTTAAGTCCAATCTGTCAGAAGAATTTATGCATAGTAATCTGAAGCCCATGTGCCTTTTCAGATACTAGAGATGAGGTGGTATACGTTTGGATATCAGAGAGAACTAGACAACTATTTTCTGCCAGTTAAGAAACCTTAAGATGTATACACCTACGACCTCATGAGAAATCAAATTGGATTTTCCTGGCTTCGCATTAAATACGATACCTTAAGACTGATGATCTGACAACCATTAGTTCGTAATTTTCAGTTGAAGTAATTTGTGTTATCGGCTATCAGAAACAACAGATAACTTTTGTTAGCAAATGGAAAGTATGGGTCATGTGTTTCTCTACGCTTTTGAATGAGGTAATAACCATGTTTAAATCTAGCTTCGTTCGATATTTTTCCCTGATCATTTTCTAAGATAAAATTAACATCAATCTTCAACAGTTCACTCTGTTGTGGAATCTACATTGGTTTGAGAAAGCTGAAAGTTACAAGCTTAAAGTTTACTCCAGGGTAATGGCGTCATATAACGGCAAGTGAAACTGCCTGACGAAATGAAACTGTTTAGACGGAACACTGAACTTTAAGGTTCCAATCTGACTCCAGAAGCCATCGTTTTATATTACTTTGCAACGTTTAGTGAATCGAACCATCATATTACTTTGAACTAGATAGAGAACAACCAAGAGTTAGCTGTTAAATTTTCTCAAAACATATATTCCAGATAACCAATGGAGCTAGAAAGAGAGCACTCAGGAGCAAACAGTAACAGACAATTCAAACCAGGTTTGAAGCTTCTAACTATTTAATTAGCACAAAAGAAAAACATTAATGTGCATAATTCAAGTGGCCATGAAACAAAGCTATAATAGAAATAAGTTAAAATTGGTTTACATAACTTAACAACTGTTAAGAGTCCAATAAAATGTTAAAGGTTATACAAAATGTAAGAGTTTTGTCCTATAGCCCGTCGTTTATTATGTGACAAGATCGTCAATCAGAACACCGACTTATACGACTTTAGCCCTGTGCTAAGCCAATGACACGTTAACCGCTACGAGCAGCCTAGAAACAACTCTGAGTCTCCATTGGTTCTTCTCATCTAGACCCGTTCATTTGAGTCCAGCTCCCACTGTATGAATCATGTATTTCAGACATAGTTGGTTTATATACACACAAACCAGACCACATCATACCATAAAATAGGAAATAATAATTATACAATATCAAACCAAAATGTGAGTGTGGGGTACTGTAACTAATAGATTGAGAATAACTTGAGATTAGTACATCGTATAATAGTAGCTAATAGGTCAAATGAAAGCTGATAATAAAAGGAAAATGAATATACATATAATATAGTTACTTAATAGTTATGCAATAAAGAAAATATAATGACAGTCTACAAATAGATCCTAGCAGTTACCATTCACTTATTCTTCGTTCCGACATAATAGAAGGTATTGCAACATTATTTTCAACGTAGATAAACTAGTAAATGATTTAAAGATTAACAATAAAATGAGAAAGGGAAAGGATTACACAGAAATAAAAGAATGTAGAATTATAAGACAATACAAAAATACTTATTTATATTCATATACTTATAGCTACCAACTAAGTGTTTACATAATAGGTTAGTTATATTCATGATTTAACGTTATCATGATTTGTTTATTAGCTATTATACGGTGAGATTGTAATTTATGGACAAACCAATCACGTATAACAGGTCTTCGATTTTGGCGCGAAATTCACCTATCCATTTGGCTAAATAGCTGATATCAGTTCGTGATGAAAACCCTAAATGTATTTCCTAACCAT